AATTATTTATCTTGATCTTAAACTTTATATTATGGAGTAGTTTGTAGTAGAAGTTCTACAGTTACATTATGAAGTCATAAAATACTCTGTTCTTGTAGTAGAAGGGGAAATTGAAAGTAAACATCCGAAGAATGGAAAAAGTAAGCAGGGCACGTAAAGGTGGATGACTGACATTTGATCAGTGAAATATGGAAACTTCAAAAATGTGATTGATTGCTGAGAGAGGTAGAATAAGCCTCTCTCAGAGAGGACTCCTCTAATTGGTTACCTGAATCAAAATCGTTAGACCTGAAATCATAACCACACAAGCAGCAAAATAGGACGCAGAAGGTTGTATGGATATATTAATATGCGCATTTGTAACAATAATAATCAAAGAAAAGCATGTTATCAATTTGAGAGATAGCGGTCCCAGAAGCATGGGAGGAGCAAAGAGTATATGAATAGGTGGAAAAAGAACAGTGTAACATGAATTGCTAAATGGTATTATTAATAAAAAATCTGGAGCCAGGTATTGGGGTGAAAGCTGAAAGACCAGAGGGACAGAACAAGTGACAGCCACCAGCTATTACCTCACCAACTCCATGAATCCTCTGACTGAAATCCTCAGCCTCCAGAGAGAGCTACTTCCTACATACTCATGCCTATATACCTTTCTGTGCCCTGCCATCTTACTTCCTCTCTCCACCCACCTACATCACTTCCTCTTTCCACCCAGCTCTATCACTTCCTGTCTGTCTGTACAGACCTCAACACCCCTAAGGTTAACTAGTGCTGGGATTAAAGGCGTGTGCCACCAGGCCTGGCTCTGTTCCCAGTGTGGCCTTGAACTCACAAAAATCCAGATGAATATCTGCCTCCCAAATGCTAAAATTAAAAGCATATGCTACCATTGCCTGACTTTTATGTTTAATATAGTGGCTGACTCTGTCCTCTAATTCCCAGATACGTTTTATTGGGGTGCACAAATAAAGTATCACCACAGAACAGGGAAGTGATATAATTACATTTTTATTAAAATATTAAAATTAATGTTGTGGGAGCCAGTCCCATGAATTCATCCTGCACCCAAGGCTCCAGGAACAATGCAAGGAACCAGAGGATCAGGGATTTTGCATGAGATTGTGTTTCCTAGTATTACCAGAAGCTGTACCCATGAATCCTCACCAATGGGATTGTTCAAAGTGAGCTGTACAGGGATCACACTAAGGAACATGCCAGGGTAGTGGGAACAGGCCACAAGGCCTCAGTCCTGAATGAAGTATATGTAGCTGAGTCAACCTGGAGTGGGAGACTGGAAAACACCAACTGTCCAGAGCCAACTGTTCACCCTGAAGACAAACATACAAGTGATTTTGTATGGAATCAACAGGTTATATTTTGGAATATATATTTATATATAAATACATATATGCATGCAATAATAATTAATAAAAGAAGAGGCCTTGAATTTGAAGGCAAGCAAGGAGAATATTTGGGAGGGTTTAGAAATAGAAAAGAGAAGGAAGAAATGCTATGATTAAATTAAGATATCAATAATAAACCTGAAACAACAACAAAAATAAATTTTGACTTTTATGTAAATCATTATCTGCCCCCAAATAATCTGATATTCTAAATAATTTGGCTTAATGTACATTCTCTTCACTTATCATCTATTGGAATAGAATAATTTTAGCTACATTCTAAAACATATTCTTTTACAAATCAAGCATAATTTCTCACACATAATATGAAATTTTCCCAGTCTGAATTTTCTCTTAGCTTAATTATAACAAACTTTGAACAACTTGTTATCTGGCCAGTTTAACATGTGTGATAATGGACTTGTCCCAGCACAGACACACCTAGGCTCACTGGCAATGCACCCTAACATCAGAGGCTAAAACCACACTGTAGCTAGAGTTTTCCTGCCTTGCCTACAGTTAGGACAAATCTCTGTCACTCGCCAGTCCCACAGCCGCTCAGACCCAACCAAGTAAACACAGAGACTTATATAGGTTACAAACTGTATGGCCGTGACAGGCTTCTTGCTAACTGTTCTCATATCTTAAATTAATTCATTTCTATAAAGCTATACCTGGCTTTCCAGCATCTTCACATGCTACTTGTCATGGCAGCGGCTGGCAGTGTCTCCCTCTGCCTTCCTAGTCTCTCAATTCTCCTCTCTGTTAGTCCCACCTATACTTCCTGCCTGGCCACTGGCCAATCAGTGTTTTATTTATTGACCAATCAGAGCATTTGACATACAGACCATCCCACAGCACCACACACTATAAATTTTAGTTTTTTATATATCTTTAAATATGTTTCCTTTTCTTGAAAATATACTCTTTTCTCATATAATAATGCTGATTACAGTTTCCCTTCTTTCTACTCCTCCCAGTTCTTCCTTACCTCCCTTCCCATCCAGATCCATTCTGTTTCAGTGTCTCATTAGTAAACAAGCTTCTAAGGTATAATAATAAAATGAAATACAGTAAGATAAAATAAAAACTAACACATCAGAATTGGACAAAACAAACAGGAGGAAAAGGCAAAGGCAAGGCCAAAGAATTAGATCCACTCATTTGCACTTTCAAGCACCCCATTAAAACGCTGTACAGAAAGCCATCATAGATATGTAGATGAGCTGGTGTAGAGCAGTGCATGCCCTGAGCATGCTGCCTCAGTCTCTATAAGTTCATGTTCATATAGAGGGTCTTGTTTCCTTGGTGCTCTTTATCCCTTCTGTCTCCTATACCTTTCTGCCTCCTCTTCAGCAGGGTTCCGTGTGTCCAAAGGGGAGGAGTCTGAAGGAGACATCCCACTTAGGGCTAAGTGCTAAAACATATTCTAAAGCTTAATATAGCTCTCACCCTTCATTATGGCAAATGGAGACCATTACAGAAAGCTACAACTGGACACAACACAGATACCAAGGATCATAGAGAAGAACCCTGAAGAGACTACCTTTAAAACAACTGTTGAATCTCAGAATTAGGAAACATGTTGGGACAGAGAACAGAAATGTTATAAGAGCCAGAGGACCAGAAGTCTGTTATGACATTGTGTCTCCCATAAATGGCTGCCTAGACAAGGACTGAATAATGATGTCAAATAGACATGCTAATGAGGAAGGGTGAAATCCCATGGAATAGAAGTCTGACACCTAGACAAAGAACTATATAGGTACCTAATAACTGCTAAAAGAAGATAAATTTATCTCTCCCAGGCACATGCCCCTAACTGGTTATCTGAAACAAAGCAGTCAGCCCTGAAGTCATATGAATGTAAACAACAAAAGTACCCTCAGCAGCTTGAATTTGTGTGTGTGTGTGTGTGTGTGTGTGTGTGTGTGTGTGTGTGTGTGTGTGTCAACTAATAGGCAGCCATTAATTTCAGAAAGAGATGGAGAGACATGGGAAGGGTTGAATGGAGAAAATAGAAGGGATGTGTAATTATATTTTAATTAAAATATATAAAATGTATTGTTAGAGTAAAAACTTCATGTAATCCTTATCAACACACATTTACTTTGAAGTCATTATTACACATTATTTTGTTTATTGATAAATAGTTCAGCCTAGACTCTAAGATAAAGATTCATTTAAGTATATTATTATTTTGTTTTAAGCACTCAGAAGTGATTGTTTAATGTTTCCTATTGACCAAAGTTCAAACATTGCTGATTATTTTACAATTTTCATTACTGTGCTATTAGAAAAGAGCTAAATGTATCTGCATATCTCAATTCTTTGATAACTAAAGTGCTTTTTAAAGTATCCTTTACTGTGATTCTTACCATAGGTCTTTCTCTAGTTTTCTTTTTCTTTTTTTTTTTTGCTTTTTCTTCATCTTGCTCTTTTACTTGCAAAACATCTGAGAAAATCTTTACATCACTCTCTGCTCTTGCTTTGCACTGATTAACAGGTGGTCTAGTTTAACTTGCTTGTTTCCTTGTGCTTCTAAACTGCTAGTGAAATACAATGACAACTAGAGGCATTTTGAAAAGTATTTTCTTACTGTACATTCACCAGATGACAAATAGATAAGTTCTTGGTTCTCTTAGCTTCTATAAGATATCAGAATAATTATAGCTTTTCTCCCACATTAGAAGCATGGTTATAAAATATGTAGTCAGTAATGTCTTGTGACAATAAGTTTCTCTGGACTGTTTTGTCCAGATTGAATTTAACTGTTATTATTCAAAAGTGCCACAGTAATCAGTAATCAGTGAAACCATGACCTAATCTCTGTGTTCAGGTTTCCTATTGTCATTTTTTTTTTAAAGTAAATGTACCTGTAATGGAGTAATGATTTGGGATGTATTATCTCACTCATTTAATATTATCAAATTTTCTTTTTTAGATTTCCTGTGATGAAAATATTCATTAGATGAATAGTCATCCTAAAAGCTGATTCTCTGAAACTCTATTATTTTCATGACACTCTCATGTAGACTTGGTCACCTGGTTTATCACAAAGATATGATAAAAACTGAAAATACTTATGACCTTTGCTTTCCCACAACATGAAGGCCATTAGTTAAAAAATTACTATATCCACTTTGCCACCGTCTCTCATACTAATTGTCTAAACTGTGTGAGATATGATGTACAACATAGATTTGGCCTCTGAGGACCTACACAGTTAGAAGTAACTGAAGCTGAAGATACTTTACAACATGGTTCTCTTTAGCTCTGAGAGAGAGAGAGAGAGAGAGAGAGAGAGAGAGAGAGAGAGAGAGAGAGAGAGAGGGAGGGAGGGAGGGAGGGAGGGAGGGAGGGAGGGAGGGAGGGAGAGAGAGAGAGAGAGAGAGAGAGAGAGAGAGAGAGAGAGAGAGAGAGAGAGAGAGAGAGAGAGAGAATGAATCTGAAGGCACTGGGCTTGGGGATGTTAGATTCTACAGAGTGGTCAGCTGGTCAAAAGTGCATGTAAGTGATGGAAAGAAGTAATCTTAATGAGCATTTCCTAATTTCCACAACATCTTTGTCTGAATCCCATTTTTGTCTTTATAGAATCCCTCCAGCTAATCAGAACTGACTTCATCGACAGATTATATGGTTAATTACAGTAGTGCTTTACCTGAATGCCCCAAGATATTGATGTAGTCAACAACCGCGTCAAGCCTCAGAACACTAGAAACCTTGGATAAACCTGGGAGACAGCTTGTCAATATCTAAGGTATTTATTATTTCTAAGGAATACACAAAGTCTATAGACATAATGTCACAACAGTATTTAAATAATATAATTAATAGAAGATTTCTTCCAAAATAAGACATTTCCTTATGTAGAGTACTTTAGACATCAATATGCAGTATTTACAAGCTAATTAGTAAGTGATTTTGATCTAGAAATTTTTAGAATTTTAACAAAAATACATTCTAATTTCAACAGCTATTTGGATATCTAAATTGCTAATTAAAACAAAGTGTTCTCACTATAGTTTATACATCCTTGACCCTGGCATCTGGAAACACAAAGTTTTAGTTCCCTGTTGGCTACCTATAAACTGTTATAATGTCTTTGTTGTATATGATGCTAAGCAAGTCTTTTATTATTAAGATGCATTCTCATATCTCATTGTACATTTTTAGTTTTGTTATTTTTGTTTTTGATAAGGTCTTTCTAAATATCCCAGGCAAGACTTGAACTTCTGTTCTTCCTGCCTCAACCCCTCAAGGGACTGAATTTACAGGTCTGTTTCAGTTTCTAGGTGTAAAAGTAGGTTGTTCCCATTTATACATTTAAGCTCATAACTCTTCATGATAATAAAGCCTAAATTAAAGAGTAGCAAACCCACTGTACAGTTTGTAGCTTCCTGATCCGGTGGTGCCCTTTCTATTGTGAGGCCACTGTATATACTTATTGACAGATGACTTGGAGATAAGATCCTAGCTTTTCATTTCTGCCTTAACTTACTTTGTTCATGTTTGTGTATCAATGCACTATTGTAGAGCAGTATAGGTATCACTTCTTTGTTTCAAAGTGTCCTGAGCCTTCTGTGGTTTACAAAGGATGTCTGGTTGTTTTACATACTATTAACATGAACAAATTCTGGGCTTTGAGTATAGACTTACCTTACATTTTTTCCTCTAAGCCATTTATAGTAACTTATTTCACTCTCATGCTTTCCAATTTGTGTCACCCGTTAAAGAGCTGCCACATTACAGAGTATGCCCCGTTTCCTTTGCCTTGCATCAAAATTTGGTATTGATTACTAATTGGCAATTTGAAGAACCATTTACTTGAAAATATATAGGACTCAGTAACAATTAAATTGTACCTTTCAGGACTTGCTATAACTTGAATTTTTAGTGTGAGTCTAACTGTTGTATCTAAGCACCTAGATATAGATTATATAACATTCAAAATTTCTGCTGTCAGAAACACAATTTTTAAACTCTTCTTCTGTTGAGCACTAGGATTCAATGTTATTGATATACAACATCAGAAAAATGTATGCACACAAATATACATTTAATTATTTATGTGTTATTAATTATAGACTATTAATATATAACAATATAAAATATACTCATAAAATTAATTAAAAGTAAATAAAAGAAGTGTTCATGATCAGCCTAATGTTTTACTTCTATTGCCTTGAGTCATTTTGAAAAAAATTCCAGAAAATGATGTCTCTAATTTTATAAAAGGCCAAAGGGAATTTAGGAAAAATGTTCATTTTTTTTTATAGAAAACCTTTGCTACATAAATGATATTTTAAACAAAGGGTATGGTTTTTTTTTCTAATTTTTAAAAGGGTTATTTGCCCTTAGCAATAATGCAAATAAATAAATTCAATCATTTCAGAACAGCATATCTAAAGATAGTTTTATTAATGTTATACATCTTTCTCTTACATCTTCCAAGCACATTTTCATTCAGCTTGTGAAATGGTAACTCTTCATTATGCATGTTTTTATTACATTTATTTATTTATTTATTTTTGGTTTTTCAAGACAGGGTTTATCTGTGTAGTTTTGGTGTCTGTCTTGGATCTTGCTCTGTAGACTAGGCTGGCCTCAAACTCACAGAGATCTGCCTGGCTCTGCCTCCCCAGTGCTGGGATTAAAGGCATGTGCCACCACTGCCTGGCTTACCTTTATTTTTATATTGTAATTGTCTAGGCTTCCATTTGCAAAAAAGACATATGAAATTTTCTATAAGTTTATTTTAAAGCACAGACTTTATTATTATTCCTTTATCATTACAATATTTTTTATGTTGTCAGTTTGTGGTAAATGTACCTGTTATTGTGTGGGCATGTGCATGTGCATGTGCGTGTGCATGTGCGCGCGCGTGCGCGCGCATGTGTGTGTGTGTGTGTGTGTGTGTGTGTGTGTGTGTGTGTATGTGTGTGTGTGTGCATGTGAGTATATAGATGTGTGTGAGTGTACACCTGTGTGCTTATGCATGTGCGTGACTAAGGTTTATGACGATGTCTTTCCTTAATGGCTCTCCACATTTATTTTTTTTAAAACAAGAACTCTTGCTGAGTCTGAAGTTCATCAATTTGTCTAAGTTGGCTGGTCAACGGGCTTCAGAAAGCTATCTACACTTTATGAATAATAATATAAAATTTGATTTTTATTATCTCAGAGAAAGTAGTTACCTTAGTTTGCATTTATTGAGTATGTAGTGCTTGTAGAGATTTCAAAGATCTATGTTCATGGGCAGGCATAGTTATAAAATGGAAGACTCAAGAGCATGCAGCTAATAGTATCTATCCATTGAGGGTGACTTAGAGACAAGAATGATATTTTCCTAACAGCTCTAGGAGTCAGAGAAATCCAAGGTAAGAGAACTCACAGATAGAGTATATGTTGAGAACTTACTCCCTGGTTCAAAGGTGACATCTTCCTGTACTGAGTTCACGTGTTAAAAGAAACAAAGTATTTCTTGAGTATTGGCTCTGGTAGCTAAGAATGCACATACAGCAAAACAAGACACAGTCTATACTTTTGAGCTACTTTGATACCTTTCAACAAAAAGTTGTATAATTCTGTTTGTTGTTCCTTTCTCATTCCACTGTTCTGCTCCCTTCTTGTTTTTTTTTTTTTTTTTTTTTTTTTATTTAGTTACTGTACTGTCCAAAAGGACTTGAAGGATGTTATGGAAATGCATGTCCCAATACAACAAAAACAGGAATAAATGTAAGCTGTGAAATAAGTGAAGTAGAAAACTGAAGCTACAAAACGGAGAAGTTAAAAATGAAAGTAATGTAACAATATTTGTATAAAATACCCATGAATTTGCATAGGCTATGCCTGAAATTTTGTACTTTATCTTCTGACTACTGGTATGAAGGCAAACTAACTACCTGATTATATTATGCTCTGTATTTGAAAGATGGGTAAATCCTCAAGAAAAACACAAATGTTTGAGGTATTTTGAATACACTAAATAATTCTCCTAAAGTAAGTTCTGATTGAGGAAATTAAGAAATAATTTTTACAAATATTATTACAGTTAACACATTGGTGAATTTTAAAGAATTGGGTTGTTCTTCAATAAAGATAGTGAGTGATCACATCACACCCAAATGGTTGTCTATTTCACTGACTGCATAGCTTAATTCAAATTATTTGAGACTATCATGGGGAAAATTGAATGAATATCTTTTAAGTTTACCTTAAAATATCAGGGTATAAGATGGTAATTTGTTAAATATAATCGATCTCAGAGGATGTTTATTGGACATAAAGTGATTAGAAATTTAAAATTGTACTGCCTGTTTTTCACCTCTGTCCCGTTTACAATACCTTTAGTGCTGAAACATATCAATCACATTTAGTTGAGATGACCAAATGAAACTTCACTCTGAAATTTTAGGAAGTACTTAGAGCTGATAACAGACAAGATATTGTATCAGAACAACCATATCTTGGCTGAGGATCGTCTGTAGCAAATTGTTATTAATCAACAGTTAGAAACAAAAGTGAAAGTATAAAAGATCTATCAAAATGCAACTATTATAATCATATTGACCTTGGAAACATTAAGGCAAATGTAAATATCCATTCTTTGAAGCGTTAATAAAGAGCCTCAGTAAATTAAATATTTACTTTTGAACATGAGTGCTTCATTGTCAACTATTATAAACTATATTTGTAAACTTGAGTTGCCATAAAAAGCCCTCCTTTGAGTTGTTGATCAAGGTGGTCCAAGTAACTTACACACTATAGACTATCATCATCATCCTTGGTTGTCATCAGAGTGAAAAGTAATAACCTATTACTAAAGACACAGGACCATAAAGCTCCTGAGATGGAGCTGACAGGCAAGCTTTATCTCTGGGAACTAGCTTTCATGCCACCAGTTGGCACAATAAGAGCTTCTGAAGGAGGGAAGCAGCTGATAATTCTACCCAGCTTGATGCCTAGGAAACTCAACAAAGACTTGCACAACATGGTATCCCTAAGGGTGGAACAGTGATATGCAAACATTGCCAGTAGCTACAGCTCTCTAATTTACTTAAGATTGGCTCCTCAAGAGGGAAACTATGCCTGGCACTTGAAACACATTGAACTACCTGGTCCTAGTGACACCGTGGATCCTAGAGAAGAATCAACAGCCATCACTTTACCAAACCTTCATAATCCCATCTACATTCTAAATGTTTGTCTTTACACCTACATATAAGTGTAGTTCTCACTGCTCATCAAAGAAACTTCTCCTTGCAACAGACATAGACCCTTACAGGAAACAGCAAACAATTGGAATGCAGAGTTGAGTCGTCCAGTACCAGCGAATACATCTACAAAACAATTCTGTACCCAAGGCTCAAGAAACATTAGTGCTAGAGCAGGGGGTAAGTTTGTCAAGACTAGAGGATCAAAATACTTATCATATTTTGAAAAATTAGGGATCAGGGAGTTTACTCTGAGGGTATATTAACATTGAATTACTTGACTTGTATTTTATTTATAATTTACAAACTGTTCAAAGTTTTTAAGATTGTTATAACAAAGATTGTCTTAAATAGATATCACTAGATATCAGGACTAAGTATTTTTCCAGACCATTAAGTATGGTGTTTTAAAAAGGCATTCTCTTATGGCACCAGAGGAAACTTACAGTGCATTCTCTAAAATATGGAATATGAATGGATCATTTCTGGTCATATAAAAGCTAATAAAAGGAAGTTATATAGCTGAGGATGTTTCCATTCCCAG